CCCTTTTCAGATTTCTTTTTTAAAATTGTAAAGAGAACAAATATATAAGAGACAAGAATAGTCACAATGCTGAATACTTGTATTGAACCCGAGAAAATGAACAGCATTAGGTAATTAATAGCAGGATCAGTACAGGAAATCTTTGTCAATGGTATGACATCACAATAAAAATGATGTATTATATTGGAATTACAGAAGGTTAATCTGAATAAAAAACTTTCATGAATTAAGGCATGAAGAAAGCCACCTACAAATGATAAAACTAATAGGTGGATACAAAGTCTATTGGTCATAATCACTGGGTAAAGTAAAGGTTTGCATATAGCTACATAGCGATCATAAGCCATTGCTGCCAACAGAAAACATTCTGTTGTGCCACTGATTACAAAGGAGAAAAATTGTATCATGCATTCAGAGAGAGATATCATCTTGTTATTGTCTAAGAAGCTAACCAGCATTTTTGGTGTCACAGTGGATGATAACCAAGTATCTACAAAGGCTAAATTCCCAAGAAAAAAATACATGGGTATGTGAAGGTGAGCATTATTCTTGATGAGAGTAATCAGACCTAGGTTCCCCACAATGGTGGTGAAGTACATTGCCAAGAATACAAAGAACAGGGGGATTTTCCACTCCAGTTGATATAGGAGTCCTATGAGGATAAACTCTGTCAACAATGTTGCATTTATCCTTTCCATGTCCTCACTGGATGTCCCCTGAAGTTAAATGTAGATTTTAAAACATCCAGATTAATAAAGATTTGTAAGGTGAAAATTGGAGGATAAGCATTGCAATAAAGTCACTTTCATAAAAAAATAAAATTCACTTTTCACAATACATACTGCTGTAATAGAAGAAAAGAGTTTGGGAGAATTAGAATGGCAAATACTTCTATTAATTCAGTTTAATAAATGTGATCAAAGTAAAAGAATTAGAGAAAATGAGAGGCTAAGTTTGTGGCAAATTTACTGAGAACTATTTTTTTATATTAATTGGTACACTTTAGGTATACAATAGAAATCCTATAGTCTGGACATGTTCAGAGTGTAGAGCAAAGTTATTTGAATTGTCATGATTATAAGCTGAATTGAATTGCATGTAAAGGAATTTAAATTTTATTTCTCAAGTAGCACACTTTTGTTAAGATATTGAAAATTATGGAATGATATCATACTATTTTCTTTGCTTTCAATATTTAGTAGTATATCAAATGCCTGTACAGAGGGAACCTTAAAGTTAGGGATAGTAATCAGGAAGCTATTGCTATTGCCCAAGACTTATGAAACCATATTATACATCTCCATGACCTTGGGGAGCTCATTTTACAAATATGAGTTACATCAAGTATGAGGTACTACTTTAGAAATAGAGTCAAAAGTTCAAGAATTAGGTAAGAATTGTACTTTAAGAAGCTTGTTTGAGGATGTAAACGTAAGAGTAGTGCTATATGATGTGGTATTTGTAATAATTAAGATAATGGAGAATTACTAAGATTAGGTTATATAATAGATATTAAAAGGTGACCAGTAAAGGAGAGAGATGTCCTTTGGGGACTGGGTAAGTGATCAGCAATAATAAAACTGTGAACCTCAGTCTTGTCAAATTTGTGGAGGGAACATTTAATTAAACATATGGATCTGCTAGATGCTAACAGAAGTAATAACATGGGTGTTATTGCAATGGTTAGAGGCACATTATGCGTAATGTACTTCAGTGAAGGTACACAAAGAAAAAAGATGGGAGAAAAGAAAATATTGAGAAAGCTTTATTGAAGAGATTAGATATTATAATGTGGACAGATGTCATTTATTAGATGGGCATATCTGAACCCCTTTATAACATATGATTCTTTCTGGTAGGCAGAGGGTACCATGCACTTCAGAATCCAAAATAGGTAGGAACTTGCTTTCTTTCCCATGTCCCTCACACCTAGAGCCAGACCACCTCATCTAGATTTGCACAATCCAACATATATATAGGAATTGTAATATGGAGAAATGTAAAGAAATGTGCAGAGACAAAATAGAAGAGGCAACCAAAGCAATAATATCAAGACTCCAGCAAATACCATTTGTGTCCACAGGAATAGCATCGATGGTGTGAGTTGTGACACCTAAGGCCAGTAGCAAAGATAGCAATCTTTATCAAGATAGTGCTGGATCATAACTTGGCTGTTCATTTGCTGCCTTGTTTTCTTATATTCTTGTTCATTTTGAAGTTGGTATCTCTAATCTCTCTAGCAGTTTTCATTTTGAGCAAATTTCCATTTAAGAGACTCATTTCTTATTGGTACTCAGAACATTGAAATGAACAAAAGTGACAAGATATATGATTAAAAATAATTAGCAGAGTGATCTCAAAAACAAAGGGAAAAACCAAAAGCAGAGTTCTTTGGGCATAAAGAATGGAAAACTACTACTTTAACAAACAAAGTAAAGAATAGTACCCAACATTGAAAGAAATGTTCTAGTAGGACAAGGAATTAACAAAGTTATTCTATTGTGGAAATGAAGAAAATTTTAGCGTCTTCACTAACAGCAGTTTCTGTTATGTAATAAAATTAAGATAAGAGAATAGTTGAAATTATATTGGAAACAAGTAGCATAATAGCAAAGGGAATTAAAGAGGCTCCAAGACATAGAAAACGCTTGGTATTTTCATATTGTGTGTAATCAAATGTAACCCATATTCACTTTTAAGCCCTTTTATTTTGAAAGAGAGGACAAGAAGGAATAGAGAAGGAAACAGGAAAGAAGAAATCTAGTGAATTTGAGGTAGGTAAAAGAAAACGAGGAAGAAAGGGAAAAGAATACATAAATGTAGGTAGATGTGGATAGGAAAAAAAATCAGGCATGAGAACATGTTCATTTTCAGAGTGGTATAACAAAGTTCATCTTCTCACAAGGGTTTCTGACTAAATGACAGTCTTCTGATGTCCCTGTCTACACAATAGGTCCAGTAGTATTTATCAGTGCTACTTCTGAGTACATCAGTATTTCCCTTCAAAAGTCAACATTCAAATAAAAAATGTACTTTCTTTAAGTAAAAAAAAAAAAAGAATAACATGCAGGCAAAGATGGGAACCTTATCAATATAAATAAATACCAACACATTGAATATATTTTTATTTGGAGTGGAATTCTTTCCATGAAATACTAACTTACTAGATAATTGAAAATGATCACACTCAATTTGTGTGCGGATACTGATTTACACATAAATCCTGGAGGGAGCAGTGGAAGAACATTTTTGTCATATTTTAAATATTCATAAAATAATGAAACAGGGTCAGAAATGAATGAAAGGACAGGGTTAGTATTTAAATGAGATCTTAACATATTTAATCAGAATTATGGCTGATAAAACACAACAGGCCATTTTATCAATATCAGAAATATTCCTTATGTAAGAATCATTATGACATGAATATTTAAACCTAGGTTTAAATTTTTAAAGTTTAAGATCACCATGTAAAGTTGTTAAGAGGAACAAATTCATCTCACAGCATTATTGTTGATCCATAATTTACCTCAAAAACAAAATATGAATACAATGCACTAGCTTCCATTTTTCATCTGAGTCTTTTGGTATCTTGCACACTCAATCTAAATTGTTAAAAAATAAACAATCTTTTTAACTTTTGTAAAAAGAATTTAAAATAAAAATTATTTTGGCTTACCTATACATTAAATGAGACTTGGAGATCCTTTAAAAGTATCAACCTTTATAAAACAGAACAAATACAATAGTATGGCAGTGACATTAATAAATAATTATTTGCACACTGATTCACTTTGGAGTTTTCATTTCCCATTCTCAGGAAATGTTGTTTATATAAGTTTACTATGAATATGAATGTCAACTAGTTTAATTGTGTGCTTTTTCCAGAACTGGAAGGAGTATAGATCTGAAACTCCTCTAAGAGTATCAGAGAATTCCCAGTAGGAAGAAGTGAAACTATTCCACTGGGCACTGTGGATTTAGACATGAACAAGAAGTCCAGGTTGTCCCCGGGCATTACAGACTTCTGGAATCATAAACAAGTTATTACAGATGTTTTCATTTTAACAACTAAAATTGCACTTTGACTCAATATTATCCATCACAAAGGATAATTCTTGTAATTACAGAAACTAGTTTGTATCTAAAATGTACTGTTGTGAGGGCTTTGATTGGTATGCCTCTATCTGAGCTAATCAAAACATGATGTTAATAAGCCAGAGATCTACTTCTTTGCAGGAACTGACCCCAAGTATAAATGCCATCCTCTTGAAAACTCTGTCTCAAATCTAGATAAATACCTAGCTTCTCCACTTTAAGATAAAAACTGATGAGAAGTAGTATTAGTCAAATGTTAGAAGAAGTAGCTAAAAATAAAAAGACAAGTTTTTCAGTGGAAGGCGACATATATCTGTGCTTCTCAAACTCAAATGCCCACTAATGTCCTAGAGATCTTGTTTAAATGTGGGGTTGTTTCAGTAGCTCTGGGCTCAAGTTTGGAAGTCTTACTTCTTGTAAACAAGTGGTTCTTGTGGATCCACCACCCATAGGGCCTTCATCACTGAAGGACCTAGATTACAAGAGAGCCTTGGTGCTTAGAGAAACCAAAAAATGTAAACATGACTGCCCTGCAAAGAGAGGAGGTGAAAGAAGCTAGATGGTGGCACAGGGAATTAGCATTTAAGAGATCACAAAGAATTTGTGAGGCTAGGCCAGCACTTTTTTCTTTCTGTTCCCCAGGTTAAAGGAAAAACAATTAATCAATTGTGAACATGGTAGTAGCAAGCTCAAATTTCCTTTTGAGTATAAACCAAATGAGTTGTGAATAAATATTTATTTATAAAAATAAAATTCAATATACCCATTATGATATTTATATTTGATATCTGAATACTGATATACAATTATCTCTGTAGTAAAAGGTTTTTATGAAATAAAAAGTTAAATCTCCATTCATTTCATGCCAGGAAAGATAGGAGAAAAACAAAAAGCATACATGGATTTACCAAAATATGTAGTGAGTCATTCAACTACAAACAATTATTAAAATACAGGTTGTCATTAGACCCCCTCAAAATATTCCCTCTTTCTTGTGATACATTCATATCATTATTTTTACTTCTTTCTGAAGAAGTTCTGGAAGTCCACTTCTTTAGTGTCTCTGTGTGATGTGATCAAACATATAGTGAATGCTGCTGTCAAGTGCAATTCAACATAAAAGAAGGTTCATAAAAGTATAATGTGTTCTCACCCACTTTATTCACCAGATCCGACCCCATGCAACTTTTGGTTCTTCCTCAAAGTCAAAATGACTATGAAAGAGAAATGTTTTGAATTGATTCATAACATCAGGAGAGCCATGAAAACAAAAACAAAAACACCATACTTTTTAAATTTATCACCCTGTTTGCTTGGAATTATGTATAAAAAAAGAATTATGTATAAGGAAAAATAACACAGGTAAAAAAGAAGTCATTGTAAAAACTCTGCAAAAACATGGAATAAGTAACCTGATGTGCAGAGATACCTGTTACCATGATTGGAACTTGACTTATACTGACTGCCCTCTTAATTTTTTGTGCAATTTTTTCTTAAGTCATATTTTTTCTTGTGTTTGATTATAAAAGTTCTTCCTTGGTGCTTCTAATATGAGTAGTTTTACAATTTTCATCATCTTAATAAGTGAGTTGTGACATACATTGTG